GTGTCTGACAAATCATATGATTTCTAATATTTATAAACTTACAAAATGATATGCATTGTGCATAAGTATGATCAAGTTAAATTTTGATCAAGCATATTTTGATGCGATCAGTTTTAATATTTTTATGTACAATTGATCAGAACATATGAAAATGTTATTTATTTTAATATATTTTAAGTGTAAAATTAATTTTTATTATTCGTGTAAATTGTATAGTATGCGATAAATCAGATAAGTTTTAGATTTATATGAATTTGTCGTACATAATAAACAAAAAGCAATATATATTTTCCAATAATGAAATGTGTAAATATTTTATACATCATATTAATCTAAATACATATATACAAAATAAATAATATAATAATAATAAAAATTTAAAATATAAAAGAAGTTTTAAAAATAGATGATATGGTAAGTTAAAAGTTATATTTAGTTGAACTTGCAAAATATGTATTAATGAGTTTATGCTATAAAATTAATAAGAATATGTATAATTAATTGACATGTTTTTATTGGTTAATTTGGATGACATATTCTTTGAAACTCTCGTTGAGTGATACATAGGATTTTCACTTTAGTGTTTCTTATAGAGGATATGTAAGAAATCATGTTTTGAACCACTAAAACACTAAACCCATATACTTCCCTGCTCAACCTTCCTTTCCAATTCTCATATACAACCCTATCAATCCTTGAGCTCTGATTAATGATTTTTGGAAATTGATCTCTTTGCCTAATCACTATCTCCGGTTTGATGTATCCGTATGGATTCCCATTATGCAAAACCGACAAGGACACTGTCCCTAACAGAAGCCATGACCTAGTCAATCTATTTTCTGTGAAAATCCATTCTTTAAAGTAACTCATTCACAAAATTTCATTCTACCCGATCATAAGTTTATGGAGCATATATATATTCGCAATTAATTCATAGTCATTGAATGATTGAACTTTAAAAATTGATGGAAAAAAAAATTAATATCTGTATCAGTATTGTACTAAAGTCGATAACCGAAAAACACCCCGTAACATCCTCATTTAAAAAAAAAAAAACAAGTTGAGATTTTTCAAAATCGTACAAATTCAGAAGTTTGTTTTATCTTCTTCAAATTTCCAATAATCTGGTTTTCTACTTTATATTTTTATTTTTATTTAAGAAAAAACGAAAAGAAAAGTCTTTCTCGCATCTCTCTCTCGTAGCAAGCAGGGATCATCCACCTTTTTGAAATCTACGATCGGAGGAGCTGTTTCCCGTTTCCGAATTAGGGTTCCGATCTCTCTTTGTTATGCGCCAAGTGTGCCTGCCGTATTGAGATCCAGTTCAGGACGGTGGATCTGAGGGATCCTTTTCCACCATGAGCGGAATGAGAGGTCTCTCCGTCTTCATCAGCGACATCCGAAATTGCCAGAACAAGGAAGCCGAGCGACTCCGTGTCGATAAGGAGCTCGGCAACATCCGTACATGCTTCAAAAATGACAAGGTTTCGGGTT